ATGGACTCCGTAGAACTCCTTAGATTTCATACCAAGTGGTAGAAGTGAAGAGTAGCCTATCATCCTAGTATTTCCGCGTCTCTTGAACTCTTGGGAATTGGCTTTCTCTATTGACTTATCTTCATATAAAACAAATAATAAGCTGTTATTAAATGTTTGATGCAGTTTTTTTTCATTTTAGCATCTCCAAATGATAATACGTATAACGAATGAATAAAATATTAATTCGGATATTTAGAGTGACACGCATTTGTTTCTTAATTGCTTACATTTCCCATAAATTCTACTTTTTCGTTAATCTATTAGCAACGATTGAATGAAATTGGATATAATGCTGTTCTAAGTATAAGAGTTACACAATCGAACAATGTTCACTATTTTAGTTTCCACAAATAGTTTAAGACTTCACGAATTAATTAACTATTTTGAGTGTCATCCGAAAATCCATTATGTCCCCTTATTAAAGGAGTTAGCAAAAGTCATAACAAAAGGTACCGGGTGTAGAGAAATGCTTGTCTCGAATAAAATGATGGACAGATTAAGCCCACTTTATTATAAGAGATATGGACTAATTAGACCAAATCTGTGGGATTTGTCCTTTTTGTAAAGGGAATATTTTTAAGACTCGATTAAATTAGGAAAGTGACAAAAGCTTCCAACGATAATCCTAATGGACGATATAATTTCTTTCGATTGTCGCTTTAAATTTCGATACAGTTAATTGTCAAAATTCTATATAATCAATGCTCAAAAATTATTTTCAAAAATCAAATTAACTGAACATATAAAAGAAAATGTAAAATTACATGATTTCATAACATACAATAATGGTATAGGAATGAACATTAAAATGGAATCGATCTTTGGAATTTATATAAGTATCTATGGGCAAACGCGTCTGGTTATTCTGCCTGTGGGTACTGTAGTTGAGAACTTATTTCATATTAAACATTCTAATTGTTTTCCGTTAATTGGCATGTGCCATATATTGCATCTACTGTTCAAATATGAAACGCTCATCTTTGGCGTTCGAAGCGATCCATTTGGACAGTTGTGGTATTGTTAAGTATTTGTGGCTTTCTTTCAAGGAACCTTGAAAGATCGTATGGCAATCGTTTATGCATGATGGTCTGTTAATAGAGCAAACAAACGAAAATTACTGTAGGATAAGTACAATTTTCCTATGTATTACTGTACTTACTTCAGTGTGGAAAATCATTTCAGTTTTTATCATTAGTTAGCATTGAAATTTTCATTTGACAGGATAAATAATCAATCAGTGGAATAAAACAACAACCCCAATGTGCCCATATTAATATAAATAAAATTAAGATTATTGAAATCAATATAAATTTTATCTTTAAACAATAGAAAATTAAAGTAACTTAACTGAATCCATCGGGCAAACTGAGTCACAGCCTTGAAATTCTATGCGATGATTGGTTTAAACTTTGTCATTTTAATAGCAGTCGTATATTTAACGCCTAGGTTCAATTAGCGCCCATTTTGGGGACATAAGAATAGTTTTGTGCCACTAATGGGAAAACTGGTCCTTTTGGTTGCTTTAAGCTTGGCTGCTCTCTGCGTTCTGCATTTGAGTAACGCCGCGGATCAATGCCAATTAGCCAAAAATTGCCAGGAATGCATGGGTCGGGGTCCATCATGTTCGTGGTGTTTTGATGACAGTTATGATGATACAGCTGAGGGACCTGGATATCGTTGTGCAAAATACGATGTTCTCATTGAACGTAACTGTCCTGCTGATAAAATTGAGAGTATGAACTCAACCATTATTGATGGTAGGTTTGAGATTGTTCCATCATTCGCCTTTATAGCTGGAACCGATAGCATTGATGTACAATTGACGCCCCCACGGCAGAAGATATCTGTTCGGCCCCATGATAGCCTTCAAACGGATTTCACATTTCAATCTATTACCGATTATCCAGTTGATATCTACTTTCTCGTTGACCAAAGCTATACTATGCGAGATGATCTCGAGACTGTCTCCCGACTCACAAAGGATATAGCAAATTCATTCACTGCCGTTACTAAGGATCTCCGAATGGGGTTTGGTGCTTTTGTTGACAAACCCGTCTTCCCATTCATTGTACCTACTCCAGAGGCCCAAATCAATCCTTGTCTATACGGCGTCGGTAACCAAGACCTCCAGTGCGATCCTCCCTTCTTGTATAAACACATTCTTTCCCTGACCGACGACTTCGCTGAATTTGAGCGCAAAACAATCCTGTCAAGAGTATGTTCTATTTATTTCAAAAAACTTAATTTTCTTACTACCAAATTTGCAATACTATTGTTATTTGGATATTTCTATTTTAAGCTCTATGAATTTCCTTGTATCTAATTAGCTGTTCTGGAATCGTTGTGAAAATAAGATGAATTATGCATTTGTTTGGCGTTTTTTGTTTTGAATATCTATTCTGCACTGTTTCAGACACTTGGTGCCTGCAAATACCACCTGAATGGTTTTTTTGTTCGAACCGAAAGAACCGAACTCACGATAATTATATATTTTTGGCTTTGTAGACCAAATCTTCTCCAATACTTTTTTATTTCAAAAGCTTGTCCACCTAGTGTGATGCTTATCGTTTTTTTAAATCAGTGGCTAGACATTCGTCTGTTTAGACTTTATTGCATACCTTTTTATTCTGAACCGTAATCTTTCACCTGTTTGACCCAATTTTACTTAGTTTTGCTTATGATTCACTTCACTGCCTCTAGTCTGTTTTATCAATTTCTTGCACAGTCTAATATCGTTTCTATCTTGGGCGCAATATCGGCTTATTAAGCTTAAAATTACTTTCGGTTCAGTGTTTTTCTGTCTCCCTCCTTTCCTGTGCCAGTGGAGGTCACAACTGAGGAAAGTTACATCTATGCAAAATTGGTATCGTTTAAGTCAGAGATCTTTTGTGAATATCTTATACTTAATTATGTTATACTCTATTCACAATTTATTCTTTCGCTAATTTCTAGCCCTCTGGAAACCTCGATAGTCCTGAGGGTGGACTGGATGCTCTCTTGCAAGTCGCTCGTTGTCCAGAACACATTGGTTGGCGCAAGAATGCACGGAAAATTGTTCTCTTTGCAACTGATGGTGGATTCCACTTGGCTGGGGATGGACGCTTGGCGGGCTTGATTGTACCCCCACCGAAAACGTGTCAGCTCACTTTTGAATCGGACCGATTTAATAAGTCACTGAAGTACCTTGGGTGGCACAACTCCGTGAAAACGGATTACCCCAGTGTTGGTGAGGTAGGTTTCTCTTGTTACTTGGCATGTTACTTTGTGCCAATACGCGTCACTTATGCTGAATCACTGGCTTATGTTTGCATATCTTGATCGTTTAGTCACTTTCTTGGTTAACTGTGATGTTTTTTGTTGAGTTTGAATGATTTCACCTGCATTCCTTTAATTTAGTAGGTTAAGGCAATATAGTTAGATCGATGGTGTATCCTTCCTCCTCTTTGTTCATTCGAGTTATACCACGTAAATCAAAAGTATCGTAATTTCAGTAGATCATGACTGGCCTTTTATTTAGAGTTGTTAATAGCATAATACATCGAAATAAGTTATTTTTTGATGCTACTGTTCTGCTTGCCCCCTTTACTGGAAATCTAGTTTCCAACTCTGTTAAAGATAATTCTAATCAATTTGATTGTTTCTGGGGGTAGGCGCTCTTGATCAGTACCTTCAGACCTGTAATCCATTTTAGGTTGCGGAAGTGTTGACCGAGACAGACATCAGTGTAATTTTCGCCATCGACGCCAAGGTCTATCCTCTCTACGAGAAGTTGGCAGCATTCTTGCCCTCCGCCGCTGTGGGAACTCTCACCGACAGTTCCACAAATATTGTCAACCTTCTGCGTGAAAATTACGACAAAATCGCCAATCGCGCCGAGCTTCTTCTCTCTTTTGATACTGACTCCATGGAGGTAAGTCAACACCATATATTTCCTCCCGTTGTCAGCTATTATTGGTGTCTCAACTAATTGGTGGCAATATATGCCATTTTCAGCCTGAATGGGCGAGCTATTTACTTTTTTCTTCCAGTTTCTCTATCCAGATGTAGTTTATTATGTCCTCCTCTTTTCATAACGTTCCAAAGTGTCCTCCTAACATTTTCTTATTGTAAACTTTATAGGAAGTCGTTTGTGTAGATACGATTGGTAAGTTGTGCTCTTTGATAGTTTGCGTTATTTTGTGTTTCGCTACTAGTCGTTGTACGTTCTTCCTAGGTTATATATGTTTATTTATTTATATATATCAAATGGCAGACGTTTTGATGGTTATCATTAGCCTTTTAATTGACTTCAGGCTTCGCAGAGGGGAAGGAACATCAGAGTGAAAAAAGGTCGAGAGGAGGGGAACTGAAGAGTGTTTCAAAGACGAAGGTTGAAAATTTTAAAAAATGTGATGTAGTACTGTGGAAGTGGTCGAATATGCCATACAGTGGGGTGATGGTAATTTGAAGTCAACTGCCGGTTTATAGACTTTTTTGCCGTATGAGTATACGTTGCCCAGGGTGCACCACGTGGAGGTAAGTCTATCGCACACCCCAGGTTTTATATGTACATGTAGATATACGTGTCTCGCAGCTGGGTGGCTTGGGGAGCACCATTTGTTTCAGATCGGCAATGCTATCTACTGCTTAAGTTAGCTCTCATATTATTATGAATAGAATTAAGTATTTGTTGCTAACAGCTGATGCATAAGTCGGTTCTGATGTAGAGTTATGGTTGCTAATGTAACCTCAGAAGGTAACGGGAGCGATGCCATATTTTTCCCTTGTTAAGGGGTTAATCAGTTTCTATGCAGCTTGGCAGTGGGAAATTTCTTTTTTTCGGTTATCGGTATTACTACCATTAGTAATCTGCTTTCGTTTTTTTCAGACCACATCTGATTGGTATTTAGTCTATTCGAACTTTTTTTCGCTATCCCCATACCTGAAATTTTATCAATTCTTGTTCTGTCTGACCTTTTCTATTCTTTGCTTTTATTCTTCGTGTCCGTCGTCGAACTCGCTTCATCCACATTCTTATTTGTATTTAATTTCCTTAAATCGATTGGAAATATCTCTTTTTTTGTCAGGTATTTATTCATTTTCACACTCAGAGTAATCGGATATCTTAAAATGGATTCAATTAGCTTAGCAGATTCGTGAGTCTCGTTTTTCGTGCTACTTTAGTGGGTGTGTAAGGTCAGGGTTGTGCACTCAATTCCCTAAATAATTCTCTCATATGCAATGTTTCTGTCTTACTACCCTGAATGTTCTGCTCCGAACAGGTCACTATTTTGTCGTAGTTCTCTTTGAGAGTCGACAATCTTCTACTACATCTCTTAAACCAATCAATCGTTTATCCATTATTATCATATCTTCAATGTTTACTTTATGTGTGTTTGGATAATTCCCACACAAGCAAGTTCCTCGCTGAACTGAACGACTGCAGAAAAAATGTAAACTTTTCGAAACTGTCTATATTGGCGCTTATAATAAATCATATAAATCGCAGTTTTCCACAGTGAGGTATCATCTAAACACTAAAAGAAATCAGTTTGGGGTATTAAAGGCTTTATTTCATCTAACCTCTTCATTTACCAGGCTGAACGTTTCTGTGGTTTTATATACTCGGTGTTAGCACATGATCTTAGCTCAGAGAGCCGCGGTGCACCCTGGGCAACGTATACTCATGCGGCAAAAAGTCTATTATTCGGCAGTTGACTTCTGGCTTCAAACTACCATGGGCCGACTGCCTGTCATATTCGACCCCTTTCACAGTACTCATCTTACCTTTTTCTCTAAATTCGTGTCTGTCTGCCTCTTTTACATCTGTGAATCGCTCTTCTGTTCCCCACCCCTCGACTTTCTGCTACTTTGATGAATCTTCCTTCTGTGAAGCCCGAAGTCAGCTTAATGGCCAATTATAACTATCAAAACGCCTGCCATTTGAAATAAATAAATATACTCGGTGTTAGATGTTTGACTAGCTGGTTTAATCGGTGTCCATCCTAATTTTAATTCAAGCTCTACAATTTGATATAATCAATTTTGGAACTATGTGATATTTTGTTAAAACGTCTTGAATGATATAAGTAAAAGTGTATTCGGTAGTAAGGCAAATTTTCCAAGTACCAAGGCTTTTTGTGTGCAAACGAAATTTTCAATCAACGAATTCCTGGGGGGGGGGGGGTTCTCAGTCTCTAAAGAGGCTTGGAATAGCTTTTCTCCAAAATAAACACTTGCTTCATGTGCGTTGCAAGTTGGTTTAACTAGGGTACCACATTTTTTATTTCAGTCATCTTTATGGCAATTTCACCAATTTTCGCTAAAGGTATCTCTAGTAAGCATCTTTAAATGCTCTACATATTTGTTTTTTTATCATCACAGGTTGAAATTCAAGCTAAATGCCAAGGTGAGACCGAGTTCACGAAGAAAACTGTCTGCAAGGAGCATCCCGTAGGAGGAAAGATCGAATATCGTGTTTCAGTGACACCTACTCGCTGCTTTTCCGGCACCAAGGAGGTCGTTCTTAAGATGGTCGCTCTGGAAGAACAGGTAAGGGCTTTTATTCTCCAATTGACGTTTTATTTTCCTTCACTACTTTGCGTCCACTGAGTTTTTTACATGTTCATCAGCATAATAAGAAGAGGCTTAGAGAATTCCGTCATGCACATGTGGCTAATTAAATGAGATTGTGGAATGATTTAGTCCAAGGAGGTGACTAAATACTCTTCTATGCTTTAACAACAGTTTAAGTAGTCTGGGGTTGCATTGTCAATAGGATTCAATAATATTCACATTTGCAAACTGGTCGAATAAGTGAACGTCGGTGGTGGTAGAGACCAGTAGCTTTTTCTACCTAGACTACGATTAATGGATAGGAACCGACACCTACGTTTGCCAGACTTGAATATGAAGTATTGTGTGTAGACTGGAGTATATATTTTTTTGAAGCACTTGAAAATCGAGGGCGAGAAGAGATCGAATTTGAGAACCAAGTTTTCACACTTAGCATGAGTCATCGCCAGTGTAAACCTATAATGGATTTGTTAGTATGCTTTGTTGCAGGCGGATGAAATTTCCTGATGGCATGCGATTTATCCTAGTATTCTATCTTACTAACAGCTTTACTTCACAATCTTTAGATTATAACCCTGTTCACGAGCTATTTCGCGAATTTGTCGTGAAATGGTCATATGTTGTAATTGATATGACTATATTTGCTTTATGGGTTAATACCTCTAAATGGAGAGGTGGCAACACTCCAGTAACTTTGTAATATGAACTAAGTGAAGTTGAGAAGAAGAAGGAAGGTGACTATACGATGTCCCGCTATTTATAATGGAGTGTAAGTTCTTTTAAGCTGTCTTGATATACTCTTGCACTTTTAGGCCGTTTTGGAAGTAAGTTCTGCATGCGAATGTCCAAGCTGCGGTCCTATGATATCCCACGGACCTTCATCACCGCGTTGCCAAGACCATGGACGTCTCGTCTGTGGTGCCTGTGTCTGCGAGCCACAGTACTCAGGGGAATTCTGTGAATGCTCCGCAGAGTCTTCGAAGCAGGAGGAAGTTATGCTTCAACAATGTACGAGGCCTGGAGACACTGTGGTAAGTCTGATTAGTTCTATAATGTCATATTTTATTTGCACCATATCCTTCTTGACTGCTTATTATTTGTTTAGCCTTTGTTTTTTTTAAAACAATAGCTAATCTGCTTTTTCACGTCTTTGTTTTATAGTAATATGTTTTAACTTAGGGTTTTCTGTAAAGATAAGTTATCTTTCACTTTCTATAATGCCAAAACTAGCCTTCTGGGTAGAAACAACATGAGCCACTAGTTTTTTATCATCTTATTTCTTGCATTAGTGCCTGACGGTCCAAATTGAATTATGTCGTTGCCTTGAATTTAAGCTACTAGTTTTCTCTTTACAAACAAACAAGCAAATAGTGGGCTATTGAGAGGAAGATCACAGTGATTGGAATCAACATTGCAAGGGAATTAAATTCATGGAAATTGTCTTAATCTGAATTTCTCGTAGCAGCTTGCGCGAACATTCCAAAGTTCGAATTTTAAGCTCTTACTCCTTAGTTCCTTAATTACCTTAGAGATATATTATTGAGAATGAGAAGTCGATTAATGCTGTATCAGCGCGCATTAGCCCCTTCACATGGCTTAACGACTATCGGTTGCTAGCCTAGTTTTTGAAATCACCTTTTTTGTTTTGTGCCCAACGAATTACTCATTGAAATACTTCAAAATACTTTAGTCGTTTTCTTTGACCTAATAGTCACTTGATCTAATTTTACTCACGGCGTACCCTTATCGCCCTGCAGGACTGTACGGTGTTCTTTCAAAATAAGCTCCATTGGTGCTAGACTCGTAGCAGAATGCGCTATTGCCGTTTGAAACAAGCTCAACACGTCTATAGCCCTCACCTGATACCACCAAAACTCATCAAGTCGGCGATATCAGTCTGCTGTGAGACATGCGAGACATTTTGCAAAAAAAATTAAACAGGAGTTAAAGTGTTAAACCTCTACGTGATCCGACTAACCTCTTTAAAATGTTATATTGCTGTTATTATACGTACGAATTAATTGCGATTTGTGAATTCTAGTTGTTTTCACTGTTTAACTCAAATATTTGTTTTTAAATTGTAATTGAACCAAATAATTAAATTTCGAACTTCTCGAGGACAATGTCACACACTATGATCACTAAGAGGAGTATTGGAATGTGTGGAAAGGCTCCATAATACCTTTATCCTAAATCTGTGAGGCACATTTCTACTGACCCTTTATTTCTTCTATTCACCATTCTTTGCTCCGACTATCAATATGTCTTCCCTTTTAGCCATGCTCGGATCGTGGTCGTTGTGTCTGCGGTCGCTGTAAGTGCAATCTGGCTCGCTACATGGGGCCCTATTGTGAATGCGATCGTCATGGTTGCAAACGGGCGTTCGATGATAATCAGGTGTGCGGTGGTCCCCAACGCGGCGAGTGCCAGTGTGATGGAACTTGCAAGTGCAAACCTGGCTACACTGGGGAGAGGTGTGATTGCATGGATAGTAACGCCAACTGCTATGATCCTAATAATCCTGATGTAAGTCCATTCTTGCGTATTAGACATCGTGGATGCCCTATTACCTCTCTGGCATCTTTCTCCTTTTTATCTTACCTTGGCTTTTATTTTGTTCTTTTAGCAGGAGTAGTGGGGGGGGGGAGGCAGGGAGTTAATTAATAGTTTTTATTTTAACCAATCTCTCTCGCTTTCTAATGCGAACGAGGGTCTTTTAACAAGTTACTGCAAATATGAAAATTGGCACCCGAGGTCGGATTTTTTTGCTTCTTTAAGTGAGGTCAAAGCAAAGCAGATGAGTTCATAGTTCAACTGGGTCCTCCGACAATCAATCAATCAACATTTGTTCTCAAAGTAGGGGTATTGAAGCTCTGATAACTGGCTGTGTTCTTTACCATTTACTCGTCTGAGGACCTTTATAGAAGGCTTCCGCCTATCGACTCCCCGTGGCCATTGTTTTAATACCGTATTGCTTAAATTTGGCTGATTGTAAAGGTAGAATACGTTGTCATTCGTTCATTGTTGATCAAAACAATTACTTAACTTCGACCTTGCTTGTGTAAGTGTTTTATCCGGATGAGGAAAATGTTTTTTTTTTATTATCCCATCCACTTGCCAATGTACTGAAGGTTTAGTCCCGTGCACAGTATTCGATCGGTATAGAGATGCTGTCTTTCTCTCAGGGATAAAAATTAGAAGAAGTCTAGTTCTTAAAGTGTGTTTTATTTTTGCTAGTTGCCATATCTCAAAATGTCATTACTAGTCTCTTCGACGTCTATGTGCTGTATTACCACGATCCATCGGAGGCAGTAAACTGGGAAGTCAAATGCCACTTTTATACTCGTTTATTGCTTATTACTGGCACAACATCGCTTTCAATTCTTTCGTTATTCCCCTTTTATTGGTTTTTAAGCCAGCCTCTAAAATGTGTGATTTTGGAGGGGGGGGGGGGGGATTCATATCTCTTCTTCAAGTTGGAAGCCAGAGGAAATACGCTAGATCATGCTGTGTGCACTAGAGCGGGGTGGAAATTCAATCAGAAAATTTTTTTCCACTATGCCAGGATGAATTAGACATAAATTAAATTTTTTTATCTACTGCTAATTGGTTGGATATAATTGATACTTAGGGCCAAGTTAAGTCAAGTTGTATTTTATTGCTTCCTTTTGGCCCCCTTATAACCTCTCCGTTGGCCTTTGCACACTTCCTCTGGTGTGTGTGTGTGTGTGTGGGTGTGCATTTAAGCTGTGTGTATATGTTCATTCGGCCAAATGGTTCTGTGTGTACGGCCTGGTTGGGCAATATGTTATCCACTTTCGACCTCTCACCAATCCCCATTAGTCATCACGGTCGTCGTGTCCACTCATCACGACCTCCAACCTGCATGCATACGTGCAACAGGTCCGCGTTAGTACCTGGTGCTATATTACCAACAGCCGTCCTAATTTTATCTCTCTTTTTTTTCAAATGTAAATGCCTACATTTCTAGCTTCAGGATAATAGCGAAATAAAAGTAGCTCCCTAAATAACGATTAGAATCTATCTCTTATATTAGTAGGGGTGATTCAGTTGAAATTTAACCAATTTATGATAGGCTACCTTTTTGAAATTTGCACAGCTTTTTTTAGTGTAAAGAATGTGCTTAAATTTACTAGTCTTTTATTCGGTAATATTTGTTTAATTTGTTCCTTGAAGGGGATTTCAAAGTAATTGACATGGCGTTATCCTCAAGAGCCATCCTTATCTCTCATGCTTCCATTATTCCTCTCTGTGTAAAAAGTTTTATTCACTTTTTCAGCAGTAGGGGATATTAGCCGTTATTCTAGCGTGTAAACTAGGTATACAGGGGCATTTCGGCATTTCTCAGTTTCAAAAATGAATTGGTTCTGTTGCAAAATACCGTCAAGTCTGTGTTGGGAGTTCGCTAGCATTCCTCAAGGAGGGAGATTTAACGAGGCCTTAATTGACTGACCTATTGGCCAATTTACAAGTCTGGTATATGGTTTGTCCCGATCGTGATTGGCCGCAGAAGATTGAAATTATCTTTGACCTTCACAAATAGCTATGCCAGAATATGTTTGGTCTGACTAGGAATCAATTGATGGTTGACGGTTGACCTTGTCATGCTGTGTAGTTGTACTTCCGATGCGCGCTGACATATTCTTATATATATATTTGTGTGCACGTTCTAAAGAATTCCGCATTGGTCTCATATCATGGATATTCTTATCTTTGATGAGAGCGTTTACTGAACCTTAGAAGGTAATTGCCTTCTGGAGTTTAAGTATGGTTGCCTTATTTGTACGCCTATCAGCTTGGTACGTCTTGTATATTCACCCTCAAGTTGTATTCATTGTGACCTCAGAGAAATGTCATTAATAGCATGTATGCTGTTATGCCTGCCTCATTTTACTTTCCGATGAAACGATTTTTTAAAGCTGTACAACCCTTTGTTATAATTCGTCGCAGGTTAGGGCGTGTTTTAATGTGACCAGAATCCACTTTGGAGCCGTGGTGATTGTGCTGTAAATCATTCTGTGTGGGCTCTTATCTCTTGCATAAAATGTGAACGATGTAGTGTAATCTTAAAGTCCGGTTTGGATAGATTGATAAAATTTACCTCAGATTTTCCTTAGCAAACGAACATAGTTTTTTTCTGTTTGTCATTTCAATAAGAGGTGGTTGCAGTGATGTGAATTATTAAGTATTAGGATATTAGCATTTCTCACCTCTTAAGTCACCCTTCTTGGTTCTTGAATCTACGCTTTTTATTCATGTTTCTCAGGGCCCAGCTTGCTCTGGAATGGGTGTCTGCGATTGCGGTCAGTGTTTCTGCAATTCTGGTCGTACCGGTGCTCTTTGCAATGAAGTCCAGGGTGGTGAATCCGCACTCTGCACAGATCGCTCTGTGGAGCAATGCGTTCTGTGTTTGCGCCGAGAGATGCTGGGCACTGATGAAACCAAGATTGCCGAGGAGGCTGAAAAGCGGCCTCCCAACTCTCCTCCTGTCACTATCACGCCAAATGCTGTCACCGCTTGTCAGGCTGCCTGCAATACCACGGTGATCGACACCCCCAATGCCCAGATTATCGATGAGGTTGGGGAGGATTCAGCAGGTAAAGAGGAGGGCCTCGAAGGTGGTGCTTCTGGAAGTGCTTCAATTGGTTCAAATCTCTGTATTATCTACACGGAGGATTCCTGTCGTGTCATGTTCAAATATCGCTACTCGGATGCTGTCTACATTAACCGAAAGGTAGGTAACATGGTGAAATCAATTTAAGTAGTTATTATTTGACATATTTCATATTATTTTTCACCTCTTCCAACATTAGGTTGACCTGAAAATCGTTCGTAAAAGTGAATGCACAAAGACAACCGGTATTCTTTTCATCATTCTCGGTGTCATCGCGGGGATTGTGCTTGGAGGCCTCATTCTCCTCCTCATCTACAAACTGGTTATCACCATTGACGACCGTCGTGAACTGGCTAAATTCAAGATGCACAATGAGAATGTTCATTGGGAGATGGCTGAGAACCCGATCTTTGAGCCTCCCACAACTCGTGTACTCAACCCAACATTCAATGATGATGCTGCTTTCGACTAAATGACCTTGAAGTCAGCCAATTCCCACTACCAGCAGTTACAAGGCTCGCTCTTTTAGTTTTTTTCTCTGTCCCAACCACTCTAGCAATCATCATATAAAACAACCTGCTTTACTAACTTTACACTTTTTCATTTCTACTCTATTTACCTCCAAAATGACAACAATTGTGCCTGCGTATATGCTACTTATAAATATTACTTCGTTTTGTCAGATATGTTGTTGCTTACCCACTACTTCAATTCTTTGTAATTATTACGCGCGATCCACCCCCCCCCCCCCCCCCCCCCCTCCCTCACATATTATTAATATAGTGCAATTATTTAACTAAACCGAACTATTCTTTTTGCGGCTGTTGTTCGTGTCTCCGCCCACTTTGTCAATGATTCATAAAGTTGGTATTTACACACAAGCAGGCGTGTATGAAAATGCAATTTTTAACTTCCTTTTGAATTAATGGTGTGAAAATTTGAGGCATATAAATTGAGTTAAAAATTTATAGCTTTACAATAGTTTAATGTTTTACTAAACTTCCTTTATGGTCGTTATTTTTTTGTCTGTTGCACGGTATCTTCGAGAATACTGTACTGATGTTAGCTGCTTAATTATTTGGAATCACTTACCACTTCATCCACTTTTACTGAACAGTTGTGAAAGATGGTGACTTTATTCAATCACCACGGCGCCTTTTATATATATCTCGTATTTTAGAAATGAACAAGCTTCCAGGATTTATCGCTTCGAGCATTTCGTTGGTCGGCGGCTTGCCTCGTCGATGCTTCCGATTTGTGCCGAGTAAACCTCTTTGGCGATGGCATGACGTAAGGCACTAACATTTTGATTATTAAGAGGTTCATTAAAAACACAAATAGGATAGAAGTCCGTGTTCTGATGAATCGGTCTTCTTCATTCCTTCTGAAGAAATTCCCCCCAAGATTGAGTTGGACACTCAAACACTGAAACTTCTTGAAAGGCTCAGTTTAGTCAGTTTTAACGAGGAAGTAGGTTTTCACGTTTCATTTCCGTAATTACTGCGTTCTTTTCATTGCAAGAAAACCAAGAAAACTGTAGAAGAGGCTATCCGTTTTGCTGACTGTCTCCTCACTCCTTCAGCTTTTCGAGGTGAAGGAGTAACCATGGCAACAGTGGAACCCATGTTTAGTCTCCTTGGTGAAGAGGGATTCGAGCCCCTTTCCATGATGACAGATGACGAAGTCTGGTCGCAAGAGGAGACAGCTGAAACTGCTGCCCATATTATGACTCATGCTGCAGTAACATGGGAGAACTATCTTGTGGCACCGCCGGGAAATAAGCCCATTCATCCAGAATTTATTCGAGCGGAAAATGTATCGGAGTCAGAAAAGTGAAGTCCTTTATCGTAGAACTGTGGTTGTACATAATTTTCATGGTGTAGCAAATAAGTAAAGTAGCAACTCTTGTGTTTTCCTTGGTGACAAAGAACCTTGCTTTAGGACTTTTACGTATTTACACCTATAATTGGGGAAAAAATTATCATCCTTAAAGTTTTTGAAGTTTGACATCTTATGAGGGAGGTTTTGGAGATCAATTAATGTATTATTGCCACAATGCGAAATGGTCTTGTTAGACTACATTATTTAACAGGGTTCACCTTCAAAGCACTAGTGATTTATAGCAGGATGTACTGCAGTCTAGAATCACATAGATATGCAGTAATGACAGTCCTCAGACGGACAAACCGAACCAACTCATGAGAGAAATGTCAACCAAAAGTGTAATACTATATAAGGAGAGAATAGGGTCGCGGTATTGATACAATGGGAAAAACCGATCGTTAGCTTAAGTCAGATGTGTCACTGAACAAAAAGGTAATGGAGTGAGACTAGTGTATATCTTATGATTGAATATCATGTCATATTTTTGGCTTGCCACGCTTGTACCTAGTGCATTTTTTATAACCAGGCAGTAACTATCTCCAACTGATCCAAGTCTATGTATGACTTGTTTTCTTTAGAAAGTGAACATGAGCATTGAATCAGCCAACCTTCTTGATTAGAACAGTAGAGAAACCTCGTTGGTCACGTAGTGATACTGCAAAGGCAATTTAAATTCACTCAGTATTAGCACAGTTTTCTAACCAGCCAGAAAGAAACAGTGTCTGGCTTGTTGTAAAAAATTCTGACAACTGAAGCTCAAGTAAAGTCTGTTAGTGATCCGTGCAACCTGAAAACATTATTGACTAACCGCTTGTGGCAAAAATAAGAAACATTTATAGAGGTGTCCAAACGAGTTAACACAATCTAAATAGCATGTCGCAAACCAACTCAAAGCAAAATTTCAAATATCAGGATATTTGAAAATGATATACCGCAGTGAAAAAACACGACCTATACGTTAAACATTATTCAGTCGCGTTAAACTCGAAATTTGGGAAAAACCAACTCAGAATTAAATATTACAACTGATGAAGATCACAGAATACAGATTGAAAAATCAATTAGGCTTTGCATGGCGAAACCCAAAATCAACGTCTTGTTTAAGATGAGCTATTCATGGATCTATGAAATAACAGATTTGAAATTTTATGAAAAGGACTTTTCATATATAATAAGGTGCACAGCACAAATAAATGACGAAATTTTAATAAAAATAGTTACAAAAGATAGCAAGAGGTGTAGACGATACCAAAACAGACGCATTAATAGGGGATTTTTATCATAACAAATTGGAGCTCATGTACAAGGGAAGAGAATCTGAGAAACTCTATTTGAGATAGTTGCCTTAAGACGAAGAGTCATGCTCCATTTCTGCAAGAAGCTCTAAAGTAAGAATTTACTCATAAAGAATAATCAAACCCGCTGCCACCCGTCTTGTACTTCTTCGAGTAGATGGTGCTGTAGAAGCAGAACTCACTGCTGGATTATCGGATGACAAATTAGGAGTGTCCTGTCCTTTATTTTTCTTTTGTTTATTTTGAATACTTTTGATATAGGTCTGTAAATGTTTTACTGATTCGGTGGGCAAATTAATTCGACTCAACGGCCTATTTTGCATCTCTAAAGATACAGTGAATTTATGAGAGAAACTGGTTAGGCCAATAAAAGACAGCTAAAATTCCAGAAACTTAATATTTAAAAATATAGGAAAGCATGATAAAATTAATACAAATATTTTTAATTTTAAATTTTATTATTTGATTTTCTCTAACTAATCAATTCATATGCTTTATTTAATTTATAACAAATAGTCCATTTAATGTGTATAAATTTAAAGATTATCAACGATAATAAGCTATTATTTTTAAACGAAACACTCTTAAATCCCTTTTTTGTACCACTATTCCTCTACAAATTAATCCGAATGCTCATTCGTGTCCTGCTTGCACTTATGGAAAACATTCATTACTAAAATCTATATATTATTAAATCAGCGTTTGCGTTCTTCCCAAATATGTCCATTCGTAAGCGCAAGCCCTTCGAACTAGGGAAGTATCTTCCCAATATCGCCACACAACGAATTCAGAAATTAGAGGAGATTAAACAGCTATTGCTAGAGCTGGACAATCGATTAAAGATGGAGAATGTTGGTTTGCGAGAACTCACTGGTATCTCTGCCGGTACCAATGATGAAGAAGCAGGATTTTCAGATATTTTGCAATCATTTCCTGCAGAAAATGTATGTCATTCTTTAATTATTTGGATATTTTATTCCTGCCTTCCCAATCATATCCCTCTTTTTGTAGAAACCGGATGTTGCTTTAAACGGAGGCTCTACGCTATCACCTATTCCCGATACTTCCGATATTCATGCCCAAGCTCCAGATATATCAAGCGGTTGCCGATCGACAAGGTCCTTCCTTGTTGCTCAGTATCCCAGCGATTCTGTGAATAATACTTCCATTCCTTTCGAAAATTTGGATACTTATCAACTACCTGAAATTATTGACATCACCAATCAGACTCCCCGAAAACCCGGTCTTTACGGTTCTTTGGAACCCGAAGCTTTTCTTAAATTCGCTTCGGACTTAGTCGGTGATACCATTCCTAGTAAACCCCTTGGAGAAATTGTACTAGCTAATAAAACCCAACGATCATCATGATTTCATCCTCGCATTTTGCAAATCAAATATACTTTTCTAAGGAATCAAGTCGTTTTACTGTTTTAGCATTTTCTTTTTTGTGCAATATGGCTTATTCGAAAATTATTGGTTTATGGAATCTTAGACCTTAATGGATTCAGTGACTGCAGATGAAAACACTCAGGTACGTTATATAATATGATTTCTTTTTGCCTAATGCTTATTTTATTATTGATTGTATAGATCATGTCCCATTTGCGGTTTTTTCTATTATCACTAGTATCAATCTGACCCACTCATTACTTATATCCATAAGTATTTGCATATTTTGGTGTTAAATTTGAGGTAATAGGAACAGTCAATGATCTACTTCATGATCGAAATTTTAAAGTATATAATAATGCCTAATTTAGCTAGAGATTAATCTTGAAGTGGGTTGTATTTGAAGAATTCATTTTCTAATGGTAAAGTATGCTATATCCCTTTTGTTAGATCGTAGTAATAAGTTATTTGGTTTTTTATTCGTTTGCTTTCTCAAATTATTGTTGATTCAACCTAGTAATTAAGGGGACTACATAATTAGTGATGTGGATGGCTAGCCAACAAAAGCTGTGATGGAATGCGAATTTCTAAGAATGACCTCTTGATATTTTCCCTCTCTCCAAGTCGAAAATTCATTTTGGACAACTGTTTCAAAGGTTTTTCGGTCTTTTTAGAATGGGCCTTCTTCAATACGAGCTAGACGAGCTAAATTTACACGACCTAACAGTCCATCATCAATTGAGATGGAAACACATTCTGACAGTGATGAATCTGATCAGTATACTTCTGTATATGATTCATCGGATGAACGTGAATCAACCAAAGATGTCAACAACAATATGTCTGCTGACGTCTGTGTTGGTTATCTCCCCGCAATTATTTTATTATGTGCTGTTTTGTCCGCTGTTTTGTGCTGGTGTTACTACAGTTCTTTTTCAAATTCAAATGCAAATGCTCCAGTTTATTATCAGTTGACTGAGTTGGAGAAATCTTTTCCTGGCCAAAACCCTCGTTTATGGGCAGTTTTAAAATCCACCATCATAACACGAAAGAGGTTAATAAATATTCTAATGTTAAACTATTATCTACTGATTTTTATTCAGTACCATGAATATTTAGTTTTGGGTTTACAGGTCCTCAATATCGAATACAGATGCTGACACTACCGATGCACCCAAAGTCCTTCTTATTTGTCCCTCTTCTGATCCAGCGAAAAACGGAAGCTATCAATTGTTTTTGCGACGTTTCGAGAATTCTCTTGGCAATATGAAACGCCATTGGAAATGTGCGGTCATTGATCCTTTTAAATCCCTCCTAAATATTTCCCCGGACCAAGTATGTAAACTCGTATTAATTAGACCTTTCCTCTTGGGTTAACTTAATCCATATTCTCATTCAAACTGAATAACGGTTGAGATTTATTAAGTGGCTTTTAGAGGTCATTTGTGTATCTCCTTTTTCTTAGTGTCATGTTAATTAAGAGTCTAATTTAAGTCCTGGACAAAATAAATATTTATCCGTCCAACATTCAGGAACTTATTCATTTCATTCCAATTATTAACTAAAAGTTCCATTGTTTACTATTTTTCGGTTCTGATTCGCTTTAATTTTTTTTCTTGCTAAATACGTCACCATCTATTAGTGTATTCAATCATTTTTCAGGTCATTTGTGTTTTCACGTATGGGTTATTTAAAATCTACTTGTTTCTTTTTCATTAGTATTCGCAAGATGGGGTTTTGCGCCTAGATAATGATCTATGTTAATCGAATATTATTAATCTACTTTATTAGTACTTTTTGAGATATATATTACTTTAAATAATAAAAATAGGGGAGTGAGGGGGTTACGCATGTAAAATCATGCCCTACAATTTATTTTCAGACCAATCCATATCCATTTAATTTTTGAATTAACCACTAATTGGAATGCTGTACCATCAAGTCATCTCTTTTATTGCCCATCATTTAAGAGGATTTCAAAAAAATGTTTTAGGTAAAGCGGAATATTCACGACGAAATGGAGCAAGCTTATCGGGCTGGTCTAAAATGCCTCCATGTGGTAGGTATCGATCGATTGTCTGGTGATTCGGCATTGGCACTCCATGGGAACACTGACCCTCTCAACTCCCCATTTAGGGATGCTTTTCTCCTCTTTAGCATACGACAACCGCCAGAGGTCTCTAGTCAGTAAGCTCAGTTATATGTTTTTTTGGCTTATTTAACCGGAAGCATCCTTTACTTGCTATTTGTAATCTAGGACCTCGCAACGGGAAATGGAGACGGTCCTGAGGAAATACTTACGATCTCTCTGGGAGAGGGATTTAGGTCGGGATGCAGTCTACGCCCTAATCAATCGATTAACTGGTCGCATTGGTATTTTTGAAATTTGATGAAATTGATATTGCCAACCGAGAGGTAATTCGGTCGATGAGGAAATTGTTCACCTTTCCGAATTTCTTGCTTATCAACATGAAAAGCTTTGCTTATAATTATCTGTAAAACTGTATTACCTTCACAAGTACTCTAACCAGCTAATGGACAAATTTTTGGCATGCCTGTTTTTTTTGAGAATTTTAAAATCCTTATTCTTGTATTTCCCCAGAGATATTGTCTTCTATTAAAAAATGACTATTTTATATTCTGATAACTTTTCTTTTTTCGGTATAGTAATTGGGTGATTGAATGTTGTTCGTATATTCACTCATTGGTTGCACTTCGATTAAATGTTGTGAACAATTTCGGACTTTTGTACGCTTGTCACCGGAACAAAACACTCACCTGGTCTAATTATTGTCTACTTGAACTCACTCGAAAGAAGAATGGGAGTTAAAACTGTTTAATATTAATAAATGTTACACAAGGAACTACGTTTCCGTGGGGCAAAACAATAGATTACCGCTCTCGCAATGTTTTGTTAGGGTGTGGATGTGCAGCCTTCATTTTCCTCACTTACTGTATAATCATCCTCGTTTCATCTCTTGTTCCTCTTCTTTTTGGGGCTGCAAATTATCGATTGTTCTTTGGTTCGTCGGTAATACAAATACCCCTTTTCCCTAGAGGCTACTGTGTGAATAAGGCAAGAGAAAGAAGAGTTTTATCAATTATGTAGGGGAGTGATTTGTGAAACCCCGAGGTAGGTATTCGCTGGGAGATAGAAACTCCCTTGCATTATTGTTGGGCACACTGTTTCTCAGGTCAGCGAGCACTTCAGGTGCCCAGTTTCTAGTTGCTTCGAAACGCCTCGTGTCCTTATCGCGTCCAATTTTTTCGCTTAGCGCATAGTGTTCAGTGTATCACTACAAGCAACCTTTGTAAAAATCACCAAGATGTGCTCTTCTTAGCTGAGAAGGAGGGAGGTAAATTCCCAAATACCAAACTTTCCTACACCTTCCAAATATTTCCCACTTCCATAGCTGCATTTGCTTGTACGAAAAGCACAAGCTCTCTACGGTCTTTTTTAAATAATGAATTAACAAATTCGAAATCATATTACTTTTCATGAATGGTTACATTCCGAGGAAAGTGTGAGACATGAGGAGTGTTCATTTAAATCTTATCTGACAAAAGCATCAACTTCGATCCAAGCCTCGGATTCGTATAAAAAAGGTAATACATTGGAATTCATTCCACTTGAGCTTGATGACTCCGAATATAAACTATATCTTAACACTGAGTGCTAATTTTATCGAATAGGCATTTTTGGATTTACTAATACTAAGACGCCAATGGAAAGTCCGAATTGAATTTAGGCCCATTCCCGATGCACTTATTTATTAGAATCACGGTTACAAGTGTAAATGGACTAAAAAGGTGTGCTCTTTATAATTATAGACCCATGTCTTGGGAATCTTTCACTTTATTTACAAGGCATCCCATAATTACTGCTTATGTAATTAAGGTCCTTCTTTTCTGCTGCAACGCTCTCAATTCTATGGTGTATTTTCCCACAAGTTTTCTCTGGGCTCGGGGTGTGGGATAGACTTACCTCCGCGTGGTGCATCCTGGGCAACGTATACTCATACTGCAAAAAGTCTGCAAGCCGGCTGTTGACTTCTGACTTCAAACTACCATGACACCCACTGTATGTCTTATTCGACCACTTCCACAGTAATCACCTTACCTTTTTCTATACCTTTGTGTCTCCCNCCCCCCCCCCCCCCATCGACTTTTGTGACTTTGACGTTCCTCCCCTCTGTGTCATTTGATCTAATTAAATAGATATCTGGGCTTCAGTTGACTCGAGCAGAAGGCGAGAGATGGTTAAGACAGTACGCAATTAGTCCAACACATGCTATTAACCAACCAGGGACAAGTATACTAAGGGACTTTGATACAGACTGCAATAATTACTTACTCCGAAGCATAGCACATACTAATGGTAATGGTCGTTATTTTGTTGACTTTCTATTGCAAGAATGAAGAATTATTTGTTACAAATTTCCTGCACAAACTTCCTCAAAAATACGTTTCGGTGAGTCAGATAGGAAATGACTTCATGAATAAGTACCACTTCTTTCAAACTCTGGCAGCTTTAAGAGGAAGATTGATGCTTCACTAAAGAAGCACCGTACAATTGGGCCAAAGTTGTCTGTGCTTATGATTTCATCAACCAATCAAAATTGCGTTTATTTTAGCCGCTGGAATGGGCTCTACCACTTGTGAGTAACCGGCACGCAAAAGTAGTCAATCAGTGTCAAAGGTTTTGTTAACGCAATTGACTTGGGAGGTGTTCAGGCTCTTCCCCCC